CAAGGAACCACTCAGCAGGGATTCCAAGGAACCTAAATCATGCGGCTTAATCTTCATTCCCAAATGTCACCTTTCTGCAGTCAGAGAACGGCAAAGAAGAAAAATTGTGCCTTGCTTTCTTTTTAAAGAAAACAGGAGTGTGGCTTATACCATGGAAAAATTTATGTTTGCTTATAAAGGAAGGCACACAAAAAAATCAGAATAGCTATGCTATGATGGTGGGATTAAATGTACCTTTTCTTTGTTTAAAATTTCTTCTTTATAATACATTTTCATAACAGTAAGTGTGAATCAATACAGGAAAACAAGTGATCTTCATAATCGAAGTGATATAAATGAGACAACTTCATTCATTCAGCATCCATTTCCTAAACACCGGGTAAGGTGTCAATCCCTCTTACCAGGAACACAAAAGGTTTCCAAGAGATTCATGTTCTAATGCAATAAACACGAAAACAGATAAATTCTAATACCATGTAAGTGTTTGCACTAATGTCCACACTCTGTGAACAAAATCCAGCTCAAACTAATTAAAGCAACGAAGGAGAATTCACTAGAAAGATATTGGGGTAGCTCACAAAAACCCAAAGAAGAGCTACAGGAATAAGGACTGCATCCTTTCGCGTCCTCCGCCAGAAGAGAAGAGAAAAAACTCTTCTCCCAGCCTCGATCTGAAAATTCCTGACAGATTCGTCTCACTGGCCTGGCCTGAGTTACCTGCCAGCAGCCTGGACCAACCTGTGTGGCCAAAAGGGGCAAGGATCTTATCAGGAAAGGGGGGGGGTAGGGCACAATCAGCCCACGGCGGGAAAGCCTCCTTACAATACCAACAAAAGGGGATCAAAACAAGTTATGAACACTATCCAACGGGAGTATAAAGAAGGCTATTAAGCTAATTAAGGAGCTTAAAAGATGTACAGAGCATGTCAGATGGAAAAGTGGAGAAAAGCATTCCAGCCAAAGGACGGTGAGTTAGGTGTTTTTTATCCTGTAGGTAGCAGGGATTTTTTAGGAGAGGAAGGGGGAGAGATTTTTAGGGAATAACATACGTGATCTGTTCTGTTTATTTTTTTTTTTAAAGAAAGACAACAGGGGCACATGGAACCTGGTCTGGAGCAGAGACTGATGACAAGAAAATTGGTTGGAAGGTTGTTGGAAAAGTCAAGCTGATAGGTTACGAAAGGGCCTGAAACAAGGGCAGGAAGAAGAAAACTAAAAGAGCCTTCAGCTCAAACTTGGCTGAAAATTTCTTTTTCTCTTTTTACACCATACACAGCCACAATAACAAGTCCTAGACTGCGGTATTATATTATCCAACCAATTACAGTAAGTTGCAAAATGGAGACTAAATTTAAGACATTTTAAAAGACAAAACAAACATTTTCTACCAAATGATCTTTCCAAGCAGAGACACTTAATATAAAGAAATATCCATTGCACTACATAAGGGTTCAAAGCAGCAAAGCTATTTTAACTTCTGTGCTTAAACCAAATAATCACCCATTATCAGCATTCTAAATAGGTTTCTTAGCAATCCAAAGTATTTCTCCCAAGAGCATTTCATCTTTTCAGTTCCCTTCTAGTGTTCTGAATTCTTGGCTTAGCTGCCAGCTATAAATAGGACATTTAGTGATTTGTTTCAACTATGTCCCTCCCTCCCCCCTCTCTCCAACAGGGACACACACACACACACACACACACCCCAAATTTGAAAAGCACACATTTTCTAAATTCTTTAATCTCCTCTAAGGTATTACTTATTTTATAAGGATCAATTTTAGATGACATAAATGATTACCTACCTGCATATTCATAGAACCATTCTAAGCACCTCTTACTTGAAAAGGCTTCTTCTTCAGTCTTTATTCTAGTTGAATCATATTTTCTATACATGCTAG